CCCGCGGGGCTGGGCCCCCCCCAGCTCGCTCCCTGCCGCTCCGCTCTGCAGACGTGGCAGCGCCCCGCGCCCGCAGCTCTGCCTGGCCCTGGGCCAGCTGCAGGTGCTGACCAGCAGGAAGGGGGCGGCCGGCAACGCCGCTGGCGAGGAGGAAGGCGAGCCCGCCAAGTCCCTCGTCCTCGTCTGGCCCTGCGGCTCTTGCGTCGTCACTTTCCGGTGAGTCTCGGTGCCGGGTCCCCGGCAGGGCTGGGCAGCGCCTCTGTCCTGCCCCACGGGGCTCCGTCCCGCCTCCGTGGCCGTCCCCACAGGGCAGGGCCGTGCCGGCGCCCGCCTCTGCCCGCAGGCTGGGGAGCAGCGGGCGCTCAGGCTCTTTCTCCTCTCTTTCTGCAGCTCCTGGGCGCTGAAGGAGCTCTGGGTCAGCGCGCTCCTTGGGTAAGCCCTGCCTGGCGGCGCAGCCCGGGGGGCCCGTGCTCGCGTCGCGGGGGGATGCTCCAGGTGTAGCCGTACGAGGCGGACACACCGCTCCCCTGCCCCGGGGCTGCGGGCCGCTCTTGGGCGGGCAGAGCTGGCGGAGCTGCTTCGCCCAGCCGCGTCCAGCCAGCACCTGCCCAGCCCCGTCCTCACCGCTGCCGCTGCTCTCCGCCCCGCTGCTGGGCGCTGCCCGGCTATGCCGGGGCACCTCGGGAGCGCTCCCTGGGCTGGCGGGAGAGAGAAAAGGCGGCTTGGGTCTCACGCGGCTCTTTCTCTGCCCCTTCCCCGTGCGCAGGCCGCCAGAAGGAGTGGAGGGAGCCCGGGGGACCCAGCTGCCCTCCATCAAGCTCCTGCTGGAGGAGCTGAGCGGCCGCAATGCTGTGAGTGTCCCCCCTGGCTCCGCTCTGCCCCCGGATGCCCCCCGGCCCAGCATCAGGTGCCCCGCTTCTCACCTTCTGCTCTTCTCCCCTTGCCCAGGCGACGACGCTACACGCCAGCAGCCTGGAGAGGCTGGTCGAGCGCCAGGCAGAGGTGAGGCTCGCTCGGGGGGCAATCGCAGCCCTCCCCACCTCTCACACACGGCCAGGGGCCGATGCAGCTCGCCGGGGGCCCTTTCTGCAGCGGGGCTGCTCGGCGAGCGCAGCGCGTGTCTTGCAGGCTGGTGTGGAGCAGCGGCCGCCACCCGTCCCCTCCGGAAGAGAGCGTGGACGTGGCCACGTGGCTGGTGAGTTCGGAGAAGACGGGGGCAGGACGGCCCTCCTCTCCTCCTCCTGCAGGCGGACACTCGTGCTGCACTGGGGCTGCTGCTGCCCTTCCCGCGGGGCGCGTCTGTCCCCACCGCTCTGCGGCAGGGGAGAGCTGAGCCCCCGGGGCCCCTCGTTCCCAAAGGACACCTCTCCACGCAGGGTTTTTTGCTCGGTTTTCCTTGGCAGCAGGCGGGACCCGCGGGAGGAGGATGGGCCTGCCCTGGCCCTTTGCGCGGCGAGGGACCTCGGCCGCTGCAGAGGTGCCCGGGCCGTCGGCCTCTGGAGGCGGGGGGGCTCTCTTTGGCCGGCCCCTGGCAGCTCTCTGCAGCCAGGACGGCACGCTGCCCCAGCCCATCCAGGTAAGCAAGCCTGGGCAGGGGGTCCCCACCCCGCTGGCTCCTCCGGAGAGGTGGTGCCCCCAGCAGAGGGACCCCGGGTGGGGCTGGGGGAAAAAGCCATCTCCTCCCCACGTCGCCCACCTCCAGCCACCCCTCCGCCCCGCCCCGCCCCGCCCCAGTGAGAGCTGTGGAGCCGTCCACACTTGCTCCTGCCCCTGAGGAAGGTTCGCCTGCCCCAGGGCCTGTCTCCAGCCAAGCAGCTCTCCCCCTCTGTCCCCTGCAGGACCTGCTGGCTCTGCTGCACGAGCACGGGCCATCCACGGAGGGGATCTTCCGGCTGGCGGCCAGCGAGCGGGCCTCCCGGGAGCTCAGGGAGGCCCTCGACAGCGGAGCGGAGGTCCGCCTCGAAAGCCAGCCTGCGCACCTGCTGGCCGTCGTCCTGAAGGTGAACCCTGCTGACCTGGAGCCCGGCAGCTCCCGGCTCTGTCGGTGCCGATGGGCACCTGCGAGAGCGGGAGCCAAAACCCGGCCGCCTGCTCGTCGGCCGGAGTGCCGGGGATGCCGCCTGTGCTCCCGGCGGCGGTGGTCCAAGACTCACCCGGAGCCCTTGGCGTTGCAGGACTTCCTCCGCAAGATCCCCTCCAAGCTCCTCGAGGCAGAGCTCTACGAGGAGTGGATGAGCGCCCTGCAGAAGTCCAGCAGGCAGGAGAAGCTGGCAGGACTGAAGGAGTACGTGTGGCGAGCAGCCTGCCTGCTCCACGGGGAATGGCAGAGGGCGGGACTTGTCTGCAAACGAAGGCGCCCTTGACAAAGCCGTCTTTTCTGCTGCCAGCCACCTCTTGGGGGACTCTTGCCAGAAGGGCAGGGAGGGAGGTGGCCGTATCTCGGCGAAGGCAGTCCCTCTGCTGGAGACCAGGCGTGCCCAGGGAGCCTTCCCTCGGGTGGCCTTGGGTGAGATCAGCCTGGGAGGCCTGCATTGACAATGTTGAGTTGATTAACATTGCGCTCCTGTTCCCTTCCCTCAGGGTGGCCGGCAAGTTGCCCGAGGCCAACCTCCTCCTGCTCAAGCAGTTGCTGGCCCTGCTGCAAAACATCAGCAGGAACGTGGCCACCAGCAGGATGACTGCGGGCAACCTGGCCATCTGCGTGGGGCCAAACCTCCTCAGCCCACCCGAGGAGCACACGCTCCCCCTGGATGCCCTGGTGCAGGTGACGGGCAAGGTACGCTGTGTTTACCAGCCGGCTACGGCCTTCCGGACCCACCCCAGCTTTGCTGTTCAGAGGTACCAGGCTGCCTCCTCTCTTCAGCAAATGCTCATGGGGGAGCTGCTGGGAAGAGCAGCCCCATAGCTGCAGCTTTCTGCACAGAAGCGAGGGTCAGGAGTGGGAAAGGCTGTTTGACCCATCTTCGGCCACCCAGGTGGAAAGCAATGGTTTGCTGTGTGCAGGTGACGCGGCTGGTGGAGTTCCTCATTGAGCACCACGGGGAACTCTTTGAGGAGGAGGAGGAGGAGGCGTCTGGGCTTGCTGGTGCTTCGGCTGAGGAGTCGCCAGCACCAGGGGCAGAAGCAGGAACAGCAGAGGTATGTCAGGTCCAGAAACAGCATGACAACAAAAGCCTCCCCCTCAGGAGGTGGGACTGCTGCCACCGGGACAAGCAAGGTCATCCACCAGCCTGCAGCTCTGCAAAAGCGCAGAGCGAGGCTGACGCAGGTTGGCCATCCCACTTTGTGCGATGACCCCACCAGAAGTGGCTCAGCTGAGCTGAGCAAACCCATCCCTGGGATCTGCCTTTCAGAGCTAAGGTAGCAATCGGGCAGGTAGGTCCTTGCCACCTGTTAGCTTCCATGTTTCCATTGCAGGTGCCTCCAGTCGCTCCAGAAAGCGAACCCCCGAAGAGCTCGTCTGGGGAGAGAAGGTAAAATGAGCTAGCTTTGGTTAAGAGGAGAATTGATTCACGTTTATCATGGCTTTACCTGTCTAACAATACTATTGAATGGAAAGATTGCCAGGCTCTTCGCAGCAAAAGGAAGAACACTCCAACAGAAAGAGAAAACTAAGCTGCGAAGAGGAGAGTGATGGCCAGCCAGCAAACAAAAGGCAGAAGCTGGAAACTGAGATCTCGGGAATGGGCGACTGCAAAAACCTGGGCAGGGCGAGAAGAACAAGGAGCCCAGGTGCGTAACAGACCGACCCTGCTGTCCATCTTTCGACTTTTAACGGTGCTCTGAGTATTGGAAATATTGCCGAGGTG